AGAATCACTTTGATTTTATGCGTTAAGCATTTTATGGGTAAGAAAGTGGGGGTGCTCAAAGAGATTTGGCCACACAGCTGGTAGTTAGTGGTTGAGTTAGCATTAAAACCAGATCTAACTACAAAACCCCTCTTCATTCTATTGAACTATCATATGGAGGCACCCATGTTTTCATTGTTCTGTAAGCTCCAGATGTCTACATTTGGCAGATTTTTGAGTCAGGGGCTATAGCTGTCCCTCTTTTTTTCTCCCCACTTTGAAATGCCATAGTTTCTGATTTGATCAAAGGGTAATGGAACACAAAATAAAGAGACCACGAGTTCTCTAGAACAGACTTTGCCACAATTTAACTGGGTGATTATGGGTATGTTATTCTTTTTCTAGGCACCTGTTCCTCATATGTAAAAGCAAGGAGGTTGAAATAAATCTAAGCTTCTGCTCTCTTTTTTAAAAAATATGTAACGTGCTATGGTTTCCTCCTCCTTTTCAAAGTATCTAGCATTTCCATAGGAATGTGGGTTCCCAAAGGCCTTAGGAAGGCTTGACACACCATGGCTTTGGCAAAGGGATAGGTGCAGGCAAGAGTGAGGGCTCTTGACTGCCTGGGTTTGAATTTCAGCTCTATCACTTGCATGCTGTTTAATCTTGAGCAAACCACTTAACCTTGTTGAACCTCAGTTTTCTGTGTGGAAAATAGAAATAATAAGTGACTCACAGAGTTTCTGTGCAGATTCAGTGAGCTTGTGTGTCTAAACTGCTTTGCACAGTGTCTGACACTTAACACTCAATAAATGTTGCTAATGGTACTAATGGTTATTGTACTAATACTAATGTGGAGTTCTGAAGTGTTTTGAGAAGTCAGAATACCACAGTAGCTTTTTTTTTATTAGTGATTCTTTTTTAAACAAAAAAAGGAACCAATATGCCCATGCACAAAATGTGGAATTTTAGTCATTTTCCCCTCAAATGTTCAACTAAGGAGTTGAAGGGACTGAGTAGTGTTTGCTGCTAAATGTTACTGATGACCCAGGAAAGAATTCCATTTGTCTTGTATAGTGTGAGGTAAGTCATTCATTCTTTTTCTTGCTGTATTCCCAGTGCTCAGGACAGGCTATAGCACTGCATAGGTGCTTTGCAAATGTTTTTTTCAATGAATAAATGATTTTACACTTTGTATTTAAGAACTGGGGAGAGTAATAGCACCTGGCAGTGAGTCTTTTCGCTCTGGCATTTTAGCCTGTGAGATTTGTTGAGTTTGTTTTGAGGGGATGTGGAGGCATCATGACAGTCAAACCAGAATCCTTCTGATAGCAGTGTTTGGCTTTCTGCTTTGATCAATTGGCTTATTATTTGCCCTTGAAACCTCTATGGTGCTGGGGAATCACAGACATTCCTCAGGATGATTTACACAGCAATAAATAATGTGTGCTGTCCATTGCTTGCTTCATCAGTGTCTGCCCTGTTCATAAAACCCTGGAGGCTCCGTGGCCCCAAGGCTGGAGCCCAGTGGACACGCTAGCTGCAGTTACAGATGTGTACCCATAGAACACATCTCTCAGTTTCATTGTTGCTTTGTTGCTTTAATATGCATCTGCAATGTATCTTTAAGAATTGACATAACTTTAGAAGTTATTTTCCATCTGACTTTATTATAGTAGAATACCATTTATTTTTTTTAACTCTGTTATATGGTAGGCATTACATATATTATCTCATCTAATCTTCACAACTACCTCTGAGTTAGGAGGCTATACCTTTTCATAGAAGTAGAAACTGAAACTCAAGGAGCTGGAGCTTATTCTCTGAAACAACAGCCCATGAGCACTGGGGCTTAGGTTTGAACTCAAGTCTTTCTTGACAGAAATCTCATAGCTACTACACGATGACATTTTCCTCATAAAAAGGGCTTTCTTCTGCTTCTACAAGTGTTTAAATTAGTAACCTCTTAGAAAGATCTGTAAGTTTCTCATACTATTCAGAGATGAATTTTAAATTTCTTAACAGTATTGCAAATACATGAAATGTATAGTGACAAACATAGCCAGCTTACTTTCTTGTTATCCATCCATTTAGCAAATTTACAGTTCCCATTAATTTTAATCTGTCCTTATTACCTGTTTTATATAATAAATATCTCTTAGTCGTGACAGACTGAGTATAGATCACCTGAAGTAGGCTCACTCTCAGTAAGCAGAGTTGCAGCTGAAGATTTGTGAATTAATTGGGAAAATTGCAAATCAGGTAGTCAGTGAAATAATTCATTGTCACATCCAATCAATAAACTTTGTAAATCAACTCATTTAATTCAAAAAATGATCTATATAGATCAAGCAACCAATTAAACAATTAGCATACACTTTGCAATTAATTAATTTAAGCATCAATCATATAATTAAAACTCCAAATTTATCTAAACTGCTTTGCACAGTGTCTGACACTTAACACTCAATAAATGTTGCTAATGGTACTAATGGTTATTGTACTAATACTAATGTGGAGTTCTGAAGTGTTTTGAGAAGTCAGAATACCACAGTAGCTTTTTTTTTATTAGTGATTCTTTTTTAAACAAAAAAAGGAACCAATATGCCCATGCACAAAATGTGGAATTTTAGTCATTTTCCCCTCAAATGTTCAACTAAGGAGTTGAAGGGACTGAGTAGTGTTTGCTGCTAAATGTTACTGATGACCCAGGAAAGAATTCCATTTGTCTTGTATAGTGTGAGGTAAGTCATTCATTCTTTTTCTTGCTGTATTCCCAGTGCTCAGGACAGGCTATAGCACTGCATAGGTGCTTTGCAAATGTTTTTTTCAATGAATAAATGATTTTACACTTTGTATTTAAGAACTGGGGAGAGTAATAGCACCTGGCAGTGAGTCTTTTCGCTCTGGCATTTTAGCCTGTGAGATTTGTTGAGTTTGTTTTGAGGGGATGTGGAGGCATCATGACAGTCAAACCAGAATCCTTCTGATAGCAGTGTTTGGCTTTCTGCTTTGATCAATTGGCTTATTATTTGCCCTTGAAACCTCTATGGTGCTGGGGAATCACAGACATTCCTCAGGATGATTTACACAGCAATAAATAATGTGTGCTGTCCATTGCTTGCTTCATCAGTGTCTGCCCTGTTCATAAAACCCTGGAGGCTCCGTGGCCCCAAGGCTGGAGCCCAGTGGACACGCTAGCTGCCGTTACAGATGTGTACCCATAGAACACATCTCTCAGTTTCATTGTTGCTTTGTTGCTTTAATATGCATCTGCAATGTATCTTTAAGAATTGACATAACTTTAGAAGTTATTTTCCATCTGACTTTATTATAGTAGAATACCATTTATTTTTTTTAACTCTGTTATATGGTAGGCATTACATATATTATCTCATCTAATCTTCACAACTACCTCTGAGTTAGGAGGCTATACCTTTTCATAGAAGTAGAAACTGAAACTCAAGGAGCTGGAGCTTATTCTCTGAAACAACAGCCCATGAGCACTGGGGCTTAGGTTTGAACTCAAGTCTTTCTTGACAGAAATCTCATAGCTACTACACGATGACATTTTCCTCATAAAAAGGGCTTTCTTCTGCTTCTACAAGTGTTTAAATTAGTAACCTCTTAGAAAGATCTGTAAGTTTCTCATACTATTCAGAGATGAATTTTAAATTTCTTAACAGTATTGCAAATACATGAAATGTATAGTGACAAACATAGCCAGCTTACTTTCTTGTTATCCATCCATTTAGCAAATTTACAGTTCCCATTAATTTTAATCTGTCCTTATTACCTGTTTTATATAATAAATATCTCTTAGTCGTGACAGACTGAGTATAGATCACCTGAAGTAGGCTCACTCTCAGTAAGCAGAGTTGCAGCTGAAGATTTGTGAATTAATTGGGAAAATTGCAAATCAGGTAGTCAGTGAAATAATTCATTGTCACATCCAATCAATAAACTTTGTAAATCAACTCATTTAATTCAAAAAATGATCTATATAGATCAAGCAACCAATTAAACAATTAGCATACACTTTGCAATTAATTAATTTAAGCATCAATCATATAATTAAAACTCCAAATTTAAGCTGCACCGTTTAGAATCTTGCCTTATGAACTATTTTGCTCGTGTTTCTGAATGCTATCAGATTTGCAGTCTTGCCTTTGGAGCATGGTATTTTGCAGTGCTCAAGTTGATTTCAGTTTTAAATTGTCTTTATGTTGGTGTAGTTTCCCACCCTTTTTCAGCAAATTGATTTTTTTCCCCTGAAGGAGGAGAAGGAGATTTGTATTGATTCTAAAATGGACAAGGCTGGAATTTGGGAGTGCTGACTAAACTTTGCAGTAAAGTGAGGAAAGTCCAGAAGTAATTGAGAGGGCCCACCCTGCGTTAGGATAAATCAGGTCGTTGGCTTTTACTCCGTTAAGTATCCTTGGTGTTTGGAATCCAACCCTGTCAAATGAGTGATATTCTTCAGAGAAAGGAGAACTGTAGGGATTGTCTTAGTTACCTTGAGTTCTTCTCCGGAGCTAAATAAAGCAGAAATTTTCTTAATCCTGACCATAAATGAAAGGCCTCTGATTTCCCCCAAGAACTTTTCCTCCTTTATAGTTTTATCTGTATCTCTTTTATGATACATATTTTATTTACATTTATATTGTACTAGTGGTTATTTTCTTCCCCTCTACTTTATGTAAGCTTTCTTGAGGGCTGATACTAAATCTCATCTTTGATCTGAGGGGTTAAGTTCTGCGTCTTACCTACAGTAGGTGCTCAGTAAGTATTTGCTAGAAGAATAGAGTAGTATAAAGGCCTTCATTTCACATTGTTCTCTCCCTTTGCATTGCCATGTTTTCTCTTTATCAAATGAAGTAGGATCTGGGGGATGTAACTGTACCACCAGGCTTTGGGGCACAGAACAGCACGCCTCAGTTTGTTGGCCGTGCACGATAGCCTCTGGTCTCTTTGTCCCTCCCTCACCTTGTATTCACTCACCTTTTTCGTTTTCCTTTCAGTGACAATGTCAGTGCCTACTGCCTGCATATTGCTGAGGATGATGGGGAAGTTGACACAGATTTCCCGCCACTGGATTCCAACGAGCCCATTCATAAATTCGGCTTCAGTACTTTAGCCCTGGTTGAAAAGTATTCATCTCCTGGTCTGACATCCAAAGAGTCGCTTTTTGTTCGAATGTGAGTATCGACTCTGTTACTTATCTCAGTTTCTCATCTCTGTCTCTTTCAGTATTTTGAGTTTAATTTTGGTTTTGTTCATCAAATGAATGATCGTTGGTATCTGGAGAGTCCTTATTAATGACTACTTCCAGAGAGAGATGTTGGGGACAATGTTTTCATTGCATTTCATGTCTCTTATAGACTAAATACAGACTGCTTTGCAGTAACAAATTGTTTTAAGTAGATATTTGAACATTATATCTGTGAACCAGGCCTCTGGACATGCTGGGGCACTTTGGAGCCTGTGAAGCAAAAATTCTGGGTTTCCCTCTTTCTTTTCAAGGAATTCAATCTCTGTGAAAACATGCATCACAACCACTTCTCTTTAGTGACTTAAAATTCTTCTTTTTTCTCCAGCTCTTTTCAGATTAAATTATTTTCCTCTTGGTTGCCTTCCTTTAGACTGAGCAGAGGTTCTTAGCCTTTCCTGTGCCTTTGTTAGACTAGTAAAGCCTATAAAAGCCCTTCTCAGAAAAGTATTTGTAAATGCAGAAAATAAAACTCACTAGAGTACAGAAGATTTGTAATATTTAAACTGTTATCAAATTATTAAACTTATGATAATATAATATGTACAGCTTTATTAATACATTGAATAACAAAATCTGTCAGTAGGTCTAATAGTACCTCCTGAAGTCTCTCATTTCAAATTAGTGAGGAGTATAAATATTTGAGAAATATGCAACAACTGTAATGTGCTGGGACATAATGTATGATTTCTGTTCATGGCTGTTCATGACAGAGTCACCAGTATTGTTAATACTACTGTGATTTGTTGACTCCAAGTTTTACCACAGGTCCCACTTGTTAGGGGAAAACCTGCCAGGTTTTCTAACACAGTGTTTGCTGCTTTGAGTTCCCCACAGCCCCTGTCCTCTCCATCTCCTGGGAACCATAGTGATCCCTTTGGCACCCCCTGCTGTCAGTAACCAGCAAATTCACTATCCAACAGGGGGATTGCTTTAGAGGTCTTTTCCTCTTGCCTCTTTAAAACATACTGCCTTTGTTTCAGATTTTTACTAAAAATAGGATCATGTTACCCATGATACATGAGTATTTTGGGACTTACTATCTTTGAGCAAAAAAAGAATACCTGAGTGCCTGGGGGCAGTTGAAGGGGGCTCCTCAAGCTTTTTTCATTACCATTTCATTCCTACTATTTAGTCGAGTGGTGCATAAAACAGTAAGTATTTTCCTTCTTTTTACATTTCAGAGGCACTAAAACAACAACTTTAAAGAACAATTAAAGTAATTTAAATGTTATCCAATGACTCCTCCATCCTAATAAAACTTTTCATATTTTGTATAATCGTTTCCACATGTATATGTATTACACAGTTTCTAGCACACATATTGTGTTATTTTACTTAAGGTTATGTTACATATATTTTGATATGTGTTTTTAATTCCTATAATCTACATTTATTTTGTGCCAAGGATGTAGCCAGAGATAATCCCTCTGCTCATGAAGCTTACTATCTAGTGGGGAGACAGTTGTCAAACAAATCATTAAAATGTGGTGAGCAATATAGCGGATGCATTAGAAGCCTGTCACAGGGTGTTTAGATTGTTTTCTTGTTTTGTTTTTTAATAAGTGATTCTATAGTGATCGTTCTTGCCTATGTCCCATTAATTTCTGTTGAAGAACTTCCTTAGGATGATTTCCTGTGAGGAGGATTATTGGTCAGAGCAGAAACATCTTTAGACTCTCACTTTGTATTGACATGTAGTCTTCTAAAAGATGTATCAATTTATAATGGTACCAGTAGAATTCCTGAAACCATCGTTTGAGTCTTACCATGACAAAGTGTCATTAGAAGTTTTTTCTTTTTACTGAAAAATACAGGAGTATTTCAGTCATCACCTTGCATTCTTATTGTTTATTAATAAGTGACTAGAAGAATTGTTCTCAGTAGTATATAATCTTTACTACATAAATATTAACATGATCATAACAGTCTTTTGAACTGAAAGGCGTTTTTAAAACAAGAGCTTTTAAATCAGTGATTTTCAAAAGACTGAAGTTAGGGATTGGACAGACGAACCTTCCCCAGAGAAGCATCTAACATGACATAGTGTCTCACTGTGAACCCCTGCTTCTGGAGAATGGGAGGATGTGGGGGCGCAAGCAGAGAGTAGCAGCAACTGCCTTAAACTTAATACTCATTTTTTTTTTTTTTGCCTGAATTATACCTATCCCTGCACTCCCAAACACACACATCCCCTAGTCAGTTCTTTTCTGTTTTAAAGTTCAAGAGAGTTTATTCAACATGTCTGGAGTGTTTCTGAAAACATGAGGTAAAATAGAATCTTTATATGTGAGCATTCAGAACAAAAGTGTCAATAAGTTTCCTGTTTCTCTTTCTCTTGGTTGTCTCATAATATAGTACAGATTACTGGCCACTTTCCCTGTGTGTGTTTTCTTGGTTCAGCAACCTCCCATTCACCTTTTTGATCTGTATTCTAAGTTAGAGAATCTTCTGAAAATGCTGGACATGGCAGACTTGAGGAGTCTCTAGGGATATGTCCCAAGTTTTAGAGTGAAGTCCTAGTAACATAAGTAAAACTCCTTCCCTTTATCTCCCCCTTCCTCCTTTCATGTCTCTCCCAGTGGAGAATCAGCAGGAGTGGCTGGGAATACAATGTGACCTGAACCAGGAACGGGGAGCTAGATTTGACAGTAGGGAGTAAATTAATATGTAATATTTACTAATTATATATTACTAATATATAATATTTACTAATATATAATAATTACTAATATATAATAATAAAATAACTAATGTTATTTCACTTAATCTGAAAATAGCCCGTTGTTTATTATGACCATTTTTAAGACGTGAAAACTGAGGATAAGAAGTATTGCTCTAAAGCCTGGATTTGACTCCATGCTTGACTTCAAAATCCATGCTCTTTGCAACATCCTTCTGAGGGTTGGAATGGGGTAGGAGAATCAAGTGTTGGTCTATAGTCATTCAGCCACTACTATAGTGTATTAGGTAAGAGCATGGTGGCCCCTGGACCCAGACTGCTTGGATATCACTCCTGACATTACGCTTAGTAGTGTGTGTGTTCTTGGATGATTAGTTAACTTTTCTATGTTCGTTTAAATAGGGTAATAATAGTACCTACCTCTTAGAGCCATTGTGAGAATTGAATGTGTTACTATAAGTAAAACACTTAGAACAGTGCCTCGCTTATGTAACCATTGTCTAAGTGTTTGCTGCAGTTATTGTTATTATTAATAAAAATCTTTTAAGGGCAAGAGGTGGATCATTTGTACCCCACCACACCGAGCATAGCTCCATTACTCTCGTAGATATGCACATACCCATTTCTTGAATGGGTAACTAAATAGATCTCTTTGCTGCATGTTCATTTTTCTTCCCTTACTTTGTTTTCTAGCAGGGGAGGGGCAGGGTTTGGGTAGACATTGCTCATCTGGACTGGAAAGACTGAATTGGAATAGCTTGCTGAATGCAAGCAGAGGTGGATGTTGGAGATCTGCAACTTTCAAATTAGTCCTCTCATGGGCAGACATCCTTCAAGATAGTAACAAGACCATAATCTTGAAGACAGGTAGGGCAGTCTTACTTATCTCTGTATGCTTACCACCCAGCAGAGGGCTTCACAGAGAAGGAAAGAAAGAATCTTCAGGTATCTGTGGGCCACTAGCAGGGCCTTCAGCCAAGCTTTCTGTCCACCTCACTTTATGAGCCCACTTTACCTCTTTTACAGCCATGTTCCTGTCTTTTGAATACCACAAAGCCCCAGGTTGCCTTCTGGCTTTCAAAGGCCCTCACACCACCCAACCAAAAGGCTCCAATATACCATCCTTTTCTTTTCTTTTCTTTTTTTAAAATTTTTTAATGTATTATTGTTATACACTCTTACGAAGTTTTCACATGAAAAACAATGTGATTACTACATTTACCCATATTATCAAGTCCCCACCCATACCCCAATGCAGTCACTGTCCATCAGTGTAGTAAGATGCCACAGATTCACTATTTGCCTTCTCTGTGCTACACTGTTCTCCCCGTGACCCCCCACACCATGTGTACTGAACATAATACCCCTCAATCCCCTTCTCCCTCCCTCCCCACCCTCCTCCCCTTTGGTGACCACTAGTTACTTCTTGGAGTCTCTGAGTCTGCTGCTATTGTTCCTTCAGTTTTGCTTCTTGTTATGCTCCACAAATGAGGGAAATCATTTGGCACTTGTCTTTCTCCACCTGGCTTATTTCACTGAGCATAATGTCCTCCAGCTCCATCCATGTTGTTGCAAATAATACAATCCCTTTCTACTCCAAATGAGGCAGCATGGACTTTGAACATAGGCAAACCAGGGTTCAAATTCCAGCTCTACTAGTGGCTTCCTATTTAACTGTAGTCCCAGTTTCTTCATCTGTAAAATGAGAGTAATAATAACTGCTTCATGGCATTGTTGGGAGGAATTTTCTTGCAATATACAGACCTCTTTTAAAGAAAAATTGATTCTCTTGAAGCCTCAATGTTTACCCAAATTAGTTTTATTATAATGTTACTTAAATACATACAGATGTAAAATTCTAGCTATAAATTCCATGTCTTTATGCAACCCAAACAAAATTACAAATTAAATGCAAATAAACTATAACATTAATAAAATACAAATTAACAACTTCAATGCAACAGATGATATTTTGCTGAAATTAAATCACTGATGTTGGGTTTAATGGGTGTTAAATGTTTTACTTGTCAACTTGAGTCTTTTGATTTTCGTATGAAACATCGATTACCGTATTATTATTTATCTTTTTAAAACAATGTATTTTTAACTACTAGTCCATTATTTCAATAGGCCAATTGAATTATAGTGCATCCCTCCTCCAAACCCCAATTTTATGTGTTCTTTACTGGAAAAATAAAGAATGTTTCTGCTAGGTTGACCAATTTGTGCCAGTTTGCTCAGAACTT